AACTTGGGATTCAAGGCAACAAGGTTAAAACATATATAGATTGCATAACAGATACTGTAGTCCAGGATTTGAACTACTACACCACACTGGCTTGCCTAGGTCCCATAGCCAGACAAATAATTAGGTTACACAAAGCAGAAAATGGCATAAGCACGTCTCCCTGTCCATGGCAGTAAAAATACAATAATGGCCACATAAATACCTAATAATTCTCTGTCCTTTTATGATGTGCCAAACCTGCTGCCTGGGATGATTGTTTCACTCACTGCCTAAGGGGGGAATGTGATGGGCCCACAAAACATGGACAGCCCACCGCTATTGACACCAGTTCCCTCCATTTTCTTACCATGTCAGAGGATTCAGCATTGTAAAGAGGAACAAAGGGGTCACCATTACCAACATGTTTGTTATCTACAGCAGCTCCAGATTCATGTTTTTATATGCCAAGGCCTTCTGGGAAGTGAGCAGGGTAGCAGTTGCTACAGCCACTTCTTCCAGTATAGCATCTCTTGTCAAAGACTGAGATAAGAGCTTTGGTTGAAATTTCCCACTACTCAAGGCCACCAGCTTGTAGTCATCACTGCCACACACTCAGTGATTGATACAAAATTGATAGGAAATTGGAGTGATATGGATTCATTATAGAGCAGGCAGGGAAAAACAGTGGAGCTGGGCCACAGGCTGTGCAACTGTAATGTATAGTGTTTTGCAAATCAGGGTGTTAAACTCCTCTGGTGCATCCTGAAGAGTTAGAGGAAAGGATGTCAGGAAGGGCTTTCACTCATTTGAAGGGTTTGGGGCAATTATTCTGGGCAGAAATTCACAGGAGTTGTATAATGTTGGTGTTTTTCCACAATTTTTTTAATGCACCCCCATTTCCTGTAACACATCTGGATTTTTTGTGCAACCAATTGTGCAAAACCACATGTTTTCTGGAAACTTTGCTTTGCACAAATAAATATTCTGCCACCCACCATGACCAATAATGTTACATAGGCAGCTGTATGTTTATCACTAACAGGATGCAAGCCTTCTTTGGACTTCTATAATCTAAAACTCTTAATTTGTCAGTTCTTTTCTGTGATACACCTGCTCTCAAATTGCTTTTGTGGAGGCCCTTTCTTGGCAGGGCTGACTCTATAGTTCAGGAGGCCTCTGATAACTGTGGTGGGCCCCATCCTCTGTAAATGGGCCTTCCCAGGTTGCATTGTCAGTGTTCTAAGCAGTACTGGGTTGTTGGGTGTAGCCAAAGCTCAGAAAAGTTTTTGTAGTCCAGAATCAACCAGTCAGCATAGCAACTCCCATTATGTCAGAAAAGTTCAAATCTCTAGATAGAGTCACTTTTACATTTTCCTAAAGTTACCTGTTGCATAGACTAGGAACACTGCAGTCAATGATGGTCAGCTTCAGACCCATGGTGATGTTCAAAGTGTGAAGACAAGAAAAAACATTATTCATGTCCTTGAAATGAACAGCAATTGGCTCTGCCAATGTATAAGAGGCCCTAACAGGCAGATCCACAAGTTGGGGCCACATAAGAATGGAGAGGAATTCCATTGGAGCTAAGATAACAGAATTTCTCTTGATGAAAGAATCAATTTCTGCCTTCCATGACATGTTGCAAGACAAAGCTCTCTTGTTTCATAAATTCACACATTTGTAAGGCTTGTGATACTTTTGGTGAAATAATATATAGCAAAACCCTGCATACATTTAAAAATTATGAAAGGGTGAAAATAGATGCATTCGAAACACATGCCCAAAGATTCTTTAGTTCATGAGAATACATAAATATGCACATTAGGAGAAATGTATACAAACATACCTTTGTTAGGAAAAATGCATATGAAAAATGTTTATGAATTTCTAATTAGAAGGGGAGGGGGAAACATTCTTTCATCCTAATATGAACAAAGGGACCAGTGTAGTGTAGCAGTTAGACGCAGGGGTAGGCAAACTATCCCCTTTAAGGGCCGAGGGACTTCAGCTCCCAGAAGCCTCAGCCATGTTGACCAATAGTCTGGGATGTTGGCCAATAGTCTGGGATTCTGGGAGCTGAAGTCCCTCGGCCCTTAAAGGGGACAGTTTGCCTACCTAGAGTATTGTCCTGCCTAGAGTATTGTCCTGGGAATAGGAGATCCATATTCTAGTCTCCAATGAGCCCTGAAACTTTCTGGTTGACCTTCAGGCAGTCACTCTCTCTCAGCCTATCCAATTTTACAGGGTCCTTGTGATGGGTGGGAGGAAAAAAGCCAAAATTGTCACCTTGAGCTCATTGCAGGAATTGCTACATATAAATGTAACTAATAAAAAAATAAATAAGGATGGGGTGAGAATGCAGGTGTAATTTAGAAAAGTGAAATGTAATTGAGATTAAGGGGTGATACAGATGGCCCCGAAGGAGTGGTGTCATACTGTCCCTTTGATTGCTGGGTTGGGGCCGCAGCAACTGCATGTCACATACCCAACCCAGTGTTTTCCTGGCGCAAAAAGAAGCAGCAGAAATCAGCTCCTTTTTGTGCTGGGAAAAAGCTGCCTTTTCCGCTGCCACCACAGTTTTTCTGCACTCCTGTGGCATGCAGCATCTAAACGCCACACTGCTGAAGTGCCGAAAAGCTGTTGCCATGTGGGCAGTTTCTGGCATCTTGGGAGCATGTGATGTGCATACATCATGCTCCCAAGCCACTGGGAAGGTTTTTTTAGATCCCCACAGTTATTCAGATCACCCTTTGTTCTCTTCATATTCTGTGACAAAACACATCTCTGTCCTTTTGTATTAATAATTCCAAAGTTGCTTATTATTATATTGCTTTCACAGTCTACCAGCTGTTACTGGATGGAGCATCATTAATTTGGATTCTATCCAGGATAGAATCTAGGAATCAGTGATATATTCATGCATAATGTGACAAGTTCCAGGTAGGGTCACTTTTTACGATTGTGCTATTGTGAACTTAGATGTGGTATTTTCATTCACATGTTTTGTCAGTCCTTTTGAAATTGTTCCCAGGGCACCTATCACTACTGGAACCACAGTTGCTTCCTTTTTCTCAAGACAGTGAATCTCAGTATGTAGGTTACAATATTTCTTTTTCCACTCTCTTTGCCTTCATTTCAGCTGTCCCCTTGGATGCAGTGGTGTCACTAGGATTGGTGTCACCCAATGCGGTAATCCTTAGTAATTTTTTTGTACTGATGTTACTCATAAATCATAATTCCCCTATATTACTGGGTGTGATGGTAACAGTTGTGACATAAACAACTAGCCAAATTAAAATTAGACCTTTAAATTACAGTATCATATGCACAGCCTAAATATATTTACATGTACATTGTTTCATGTGGTAAAATTCATGTCATAAAATGTGATGTTTAAAAAGAAAATTTTAAAAGAATGTAAACAATTAAATTAATGTTTGAAATTGTTGAAATGTTTTAAAATAAAATTTACAAATTATAAGAGGTGCAATCTAATTAAAACAAGCAACAAAAGATCAACATTAAAATAGAATAAGACTGTTAATAATATTAAAACAATTTAAAACATACACTTAAAATAGTAATCAGTTTAAAAAAACAATGCAATTAAAACAATTCTTCTTTCTCACTAAGAAATGGAAGGGGCAACTTTTGTAGTCTCTTCAGTCAATGCACTTAATGAGGCTTGCTTGTAAAAGATGGTTGTCAGATCACATAAGGAGCAACATTTGTTTGCCATCCCTTCTCAGGTATGTAATACTAGGTAAATGGAAAGGCTCTCAGGAAGAAACTGCAAAGTAATTTCCTGCATTTATCTAGAAGATGAACAGTGCTCACACAACTGTTATCCCCAGCTGCATTTTGTGACCACAGTTAAGCAGCAAGCAAGAGAATTCCTGTCAGGTACAATGAGCTCTGACACAAACATGAGAAACAAGACTGAAAAAGAGAGAAAAACTGTTTCAGAGCCAGATGCCGGGGACATATGTAGAGGTTGTAGAGTACTTGAAAAAGTAATCTCTGAGATTGCAGCTCCCAGAATTCTCCAGCCAACATAGCCATGCTTGTGGGATTGTGGAAATTATCATCCGAAAAAGTATGTTTTTCAAGCTCTTGGGTTGTGTGATTATGAAACTGAGCCAGGTTGGTTGGCTAGGGGGCCTCATTAATTTTTTCATACAAAACTGATAATAATAATGGTCCAAAGACAGAAAAGAAAAACAAAAGAAGATGAATCTAGGGGGCACAAACTGGAACCTACAGAACAAATGAGAAACAATTCTCAAGATGCTCAAAATACGGCTATTATTAGAAAAGCCCAATACATTTCAGCTTTTTTCAGGGGCTATATGACTTAGGTCCAGACTGTCTCAAATGTCTCTTCCTATGCAAACCTGCCAGAATCTTAAGATCTAGAGGAGGGCTTTCTCTCAGGATTACATGGAGAGGTCTTCTCAGTGTCTGTTCCCACCCTTCATAACTGCCTTCTGTGGGAGTCTAGGTTGGCCCCCTCTGTACTCTCCTTTCATCTGCAGGCAAAGATAATAATAATAATAATAATAA